ATGACAATGTCCAAATAAGCATATCTATGCTGTTTCTTTGTTTACAACTGAGCTAAATTGGCTTCAGCAACGATAAGTAATGATCAGTAATGATTGAACATGTAAGGGTCTTCATGATCAAAGCGATCCCGAGCAATCTTGGCACTTCTTGTGGCGTTCATTCATGAATTACCGTGTAGGGTCTGCTTAACACTAAAGTAATGGTAGATACATAAAAAGAGAACTTCATTTTGAAAATACAATAGGCGTTTAGTAAAAATAAAAGCTAGTTTAGCATTGTATCGAACCATAACTATTTACGAAGAGTTCGTTCTTGATCGAATTACATCGCTAAATTCAGGACCTTGGCCAGAATTAAACCTCATCAGCGGTCCAGACATTTTGGCGAACCTGTATCAATAACAACCTTCTCTCTAAATAACCGCTTAGCCATTGTAACTAGCGGCTTGGCGTCACTGCCTGGCGCGCTCCCTACCGGATGCCATCGCCGCCGCTGTATCAGCGCGCTAAATATAGTCCTTGGGAAAGGATTATTTTTAAAGTGTCGGGTCCTGACTCCCGCAGGACCTCCATTCGCCACAGGATGCTCGACGCAGGATGTAGGGTATGCGAGGTGCCGGCGCTTCGCTGCGTCAACAGCGACTTCTACGACGATCTGTCGTGCTACGGGAAGGATGAGTTTATCAACGATGTCGAAGAATGCCCTTCGGAAGTAGAAGAAGAAGATCAACCAGTGAAAGAAACTCCTATATCACAATGGCAAGAAAGAACAGAAAAAATCATCACCGAACTCACGGAAAGCGTGAAGAACATACAAGAAGAACAGAGAAACATGAAAAAATCTATATTCTCCATGAACTACTCCTTCAGAAAACAAGAGAAAGGTCTACTGGACATGGAAAACAGACTAGAAGACATGGAGAAGAGCTTGACAGACCTGTTCATCGGGAACATGGTCCTCAACAACAACGTGAGGGTCTTAGAAAACAAAGTGAACAATATGGAAGTGGAATCGAAACGGAACAATCTCGAGATCCACGGAGTACCAGAACAACGTGGTGAAAGGACTGAAGACATTGTGATCAAAATCGGATACGCTTTAGGGGTGAGTATCGACTGGGGAGACATCGATTATGCACATCGAATCCAGTCACAACCAGAAGATCATAAGAGACCACGGGGTATCGATGTGAGGTTCAACAGCCACCGGATCAAAACGGAAGTCATCAGGGTGAGGAAGGAAAGACCAAACCTGACGACGAAAGACATCGGATTGGACTCGAACAAGAGGAATATTTACATAAATGAACCCCAAGCATCGAACAGTAAACCGCACAAGACTTTTCCGAAGCAGAACAAAATCAAATTCCTCTGGGTGAAAGACGGTAAGCTCTTCTGCAGGAAGAAGAACGGGTGCAAGGTGGTCGAGATTAAGAGGCCTGAGGAGTTGAACAATATTCGATCTTGTGTCTGATTTCTTTTCCGAAATGTTCGAAACGATATTTGTGCGAAATAAGACTACATTCCTAAATCTCGAAATGTTTTGAATTAATTTCGGTTGTGTTTCGTGACGAAACGTGCCTGAAGTGAAGAAATGATTTTGTTTAATTCACCAATAAGGAGAAATAAGGGGTTCTCTCTAATCGAAAATTGGTAAATATTATTCATTATTGCTTACGATAATCATAATCATATATTCTATAATACACTATTATAATTATATTTTTATTATATACCTCGACAACTATTGAAGAGTTCGACGGATAACCGCAGAATTGTTTTTCATATATGGTCCTTAAAAGGCTTGTTTTCTTTATTTTATTTTTGTTAATGAAAGTAAAGTAGAATAAAATTACATCGTTGTTTTTAAAAGCATGTGACATCTTTGAATCTATTTGACGTCACACAATAATCTATTTTATACTATAATTGTTATAGATAAAAGTATAAAATGAGAAGGAGTTAATCGGGGGTGCGGTCAAATAAATACTAAATTAAAATATAGTAATTATTTTAATTAGGGCCGACGTTTCGACCCACTTTGCAGGTCGTCTTCAGGGCGTAGGATGTAGCACTGCGGGAAGCAGTTGAAACACTTGAAACAGTGTTAACACTCGACAGTGTTCAAACACTCAGTGTTTCAACTGCCTCACGCAGTGCTACATCCTACGTCCTGAAGACGACCTACAAAGTGGGTCGAAACGTCGGCAATAATTGAAATAATTACTATATTTTAATTTAGTATTTATTTGACCGCACCCCCCGATTAACTCCTTCTCATATTATATCAACGGTCAACCATCTCTACATCATTATAAAAGTATAAAGTTCACTTTTAATGGAAAAATGATTTTTATATCAACACAAGGTATTCAATGAGATCATAAAATTGCCGTATCCGTCTCGCGAAAGTTTCTTTTATTAAATATTAATAATAACTAATAATATTGCTTAGCGAACCCGAAGGTTCGATGCCGATATCACCAATCGATGATCACATTCTTCCATCCACCGAGCTCCGTCTAAACCCTACCTCGCTAAATCACCCTTAATGCAATCTTCCCACCTTCGCTTCGGTTTACCCCTCAGACGCTTACCAGTCGACACAGCGTATAAAATGTTTTAAAAGTCCAGCGATTTTACATACCCATTTTATTCGCCTCATCTTAATTATATTAAGCAAGTATTGTTCGCGCAATTCAGCGTTGTGTAACCGCCTAAATACTTTATTTTCAAAAACCTTAAGCCGTTGCTCATCCCTTGATGTAAGTGGCCACGTTTCGCTTACACAAAGAACCGTAGATAGGTAAATAGTAAATAGATCAAATAGTAAAATTTTAAAAAATATGAAATTTAGTTCATCATTCAAATATGGATTACTAAAACAGTTATTGTATGGCTTTTTTTCTCTTAGAAAGTTTCACAACTGAAGTGTAATTTATAAAACAATTTTTTTTATTCATAACAAGCCATGTCACGCGGGACTAAGTGGGAGTCTCAATGTGGCCCGACAGAATATTTGACATCAAAACGTTTGGATACCCTTGGTATTAACAAAATTGAAATTAAAATATATTTAACATTAAAAATTAATTGTAATCAACTAATAACATAAATAAAACTAAATAAAAAATAATTACTACAAAAAATGTTTGGTTATTTTTCTAATCTAATTGTTTAGAATTAAAACATGACATTAAATATAGTTTTTACTAAACTATCATTAATCAATCACACTATAATAAATTGTAATCATAGTAAAACAATTAATGTTATCCATTAAGATTTGATAATAGTTCATAAACATATTACTTTGAAACTGTTACGGTGGCAACAAATTAGGAAGAATTCAATTAAAAACATATTTTAACAAAATAGTAGAAGATAAATAATTTAAAGAGAGTATATAAAAATGTGTAATAAAATTCTTTTCAATAATTTATTTTAAAAAAAAAGCAAGTTGTAAGAAAAGTTGATAATAATAATACAAACATAATAAGTTATAATGTGAATGGATGAAGACTTGAATGAAATTCGGCTAATGGGATTAAAACAGGTTCTGCAGCTATTTAGTATACAAGGGCATCAGAGATTAGATGCCAAAATTGGATGGGCGACCCTTTTTAACTGATTGCATCATATAGCAAAAAAAGTATATATATGTATGTATATATATAATATATATATATATATATATATTATATATATACATACATATATATACTTTTTTTGCTATAGACCAAGTAGATCTGTGGCCACTCGATGTGATCTCTTTATGGCTTCTCAAAGTCAGCAGGATTACGAGCACCTATATTTCTTTCCCTTAAACAGACCGCTGTTTCTATAACATCCTTAAAAATTACATCGCGATTCATGATTAAAGTACAACGGCTAAGGTCAAAACTCCTAAACCTGGTCTGTGTAAGTTTACTCTAGTAAGCTGACGGGTCTCATATACCCGGGGCAGAGGGAAAGAATCTCGGTCACTAGTGTTGTCCAAAATCGGTCTTGGTCATGCAAAACCAAGACCAAGACCGCCTAATTGTTGCAAAACCAAGACCAGTACTGATAAAAAAAAAAACGTTTTATTGAGTACAAATTAAGACAAAATAGTTACTAATACCATACAATTTTAGGACTAATATACTTTAGCATTTAACTCTTTCATAACCAATTTTTCATTCGGGGTTTAGTTAGGTTTTCCCATTCTGAAAAACGACAGTAATATCTCTGTAGTATTTAGTCGTAACATTTTTTAAAAGATTGTTCAATTTCCAAAAACCATGGGATCCAAAAACCATCTAAATGGGAGCAGTTTTACCAATGTTACTGTGTATTGAATTTTATACACTGATTTTAATAATTCTTCATTGCCCGTTTACATTGATTTTGTTCATAAAAGAAATCATACAGGAAAATTAGTCTAATTCAATTGTTTTTTTAATTGTTGTGCTGATGTGGTTGGCATTACAAGCATGAGGAAGGATAGTACCCAGCAGTACCTCTTCTTGGTCATTATTTATTTTTTTGATTTAGTCGAGGAGATCTCTCATCCAGCTCCTTTTTAGTCTCCTGCTGATGGGTATGTGAGTCGTAGCCATGTCGGTTATAAGTCTGTTTGTGTATCCGTGTAGTTTGAGATGAAAACGAGATTAGAGAGTACGTATGTGTTGGTCTATAGTTGGCTGTCAGTCGTTATGTAAAGTTTTGTTGTTGACGTACCAGGGACCTCCTGTTATTAGTCGTAAAATTTTTGATTGAAATGACTGTAGTTTTTGTAAGTTCGTCTTTTTTGCCGAACCGTAAATCTGAGAGGCGTATGTCCATATGGGTTTGAGTAGGTAAGTATATATATTTAGTTTTTGTCGAACTTTCAATTTTGATTTAGAAAAAAGTGAGTACAGTATTCGACGTTGCTTATCTTTTATTACCTAATGCGATAAATCATTTTTATGTATTTAAATAAACTTACTCTAACAATATTTGTATTTATTTTCCAGGTGAACTGATCCGACAGGTCACGGTGAGCTGCGGAGAACGAGGCATCCTTCTCTTGCGGGTCCGGGACGAAATGCAGATGACTCTCAAGGCCTACCAGACACTCTACGAGAGCAGCATCGCCTTCGGGATCAGGAAGACATTGTTGGTACGTGACAGAACATTCGATAATAATTCGAAATGCTGGTAATATAGACCTCCTAAATATCTTAATTAAATATCCCCAATCCCGTGTCCGCAGGCAAATACCACATACTTGGGATGGGCGAAAGTCGATAGTTTTCCACTACCGATAATTAGATAGTATCGATAAAAACTATCGATAATTTAGTAACTTTCCAACTCAGACTTAAAGAGGTTTTATTTTCACTGTATTCTTCAGATTTAAAATGCTGCATAAACTTTATAATTACAAACATTTATATTAGATAAATTCTTAAACATAATTGCATCTATTTTCCTGATGGTTGAATTCAAACAGGAAACATGATAGCTACATGTTGTTTAACTATTTGGTTAAAAAACGGAGGCGAGAAGAAATATAAGTGTCTATTAATTTCCAAGACTCTAAATTTAAGTTTGATAATAATAACAAAATATAATAAAACTGTAATGGTATTGTAGCATGCCATTAGGGAGGTAATGGGAACCGAGAAAGGGTTGGATCTGGGCGGGACAACATCCGTGCTGGGCTATGCTGATGATCTGGTACTGTTAAGCGAAGACGTTGAAACTATAAAACTAAATACGACAACGTTAATGAAAGCCGGTAAAGAACTAGGACTCGAAATAAACGTGGATAAAAAAAAATATGGTTAGCTGCAAAAATGGCGATAGTACTGGTGATATCGATATAGACGGTAATATGTTTGAACAGGTAGATAAATTTAGGTATCTAGGTTCTACGATAACTAGAAAGAACGAAATTGAGGAAGAGATTAAGGTTAGACTGAAGGCGGGAAATGCTTGTCATTTTTCTGTGACAAAACTACTTAGTTCGCGCCTCTTGTCCCGGAACTTAAAAATTAGAATCTATAAAACAATTATCTTGCCTACAGTTCTTTATGGATGCGAAACTTGGCCGCTTACATTAAGGGATGAGCAGCGTCTTAAGGTTTTTGAAAATAAAGTATTGCGTAGAATATTCGGACCGAAGAAGGATGAGTTAACCGGATAGTTCAGACGGTTACACAACGCCGAATTGCGTGAGCTGTATCCGGGTAATATAATTGAGGTAATTTCATCGCGGCGAATCAAATGGGCTTGTAAAGTTGTTGGGCTTAGTAACGAGAGAATTCCTAAAAGGTTAATGTTTGCTGTGCCGAATGGTAAGCGTCCGAGGGGTAGACCGAAGCGAAGGTGGGAAGATTGCATTAAAGCTGATCTGAAGGAACTGGGTTTGGACGGCGAACGGTGGAGGGAGGTTTGTAACAAGCGATTGGTGGTGTCGGCATCGAACCTTCGGGTTCGCTAAGCCTTATTATTTATTATTTAATGGTATTGTAGATTTTAGAATTATATTTCTTTCTTTTAAAAAACACCATACCAGACTGAAACGACTAGAAACCACCCGACGTTTTCGACTACCGCACCACTTATAGACAGACGCTCTAAGCTTTCAATCAATTACAAACGACTCATATATATTACAATAATAAGACCTATTTGGACGTACGGAGTTATGCTTTGGGGCTCCACTAAACCATCGAATTCCTCTCGTATCCAATCCTTACAATCCAAAATCCTTCGTAAAATCCTCAACGCTCCTTACTTTGTCACAAACAAAATCATCCATAAAGACCTTAATATTCCACATGTTTCATAACCCTCCGAGGCGTCTGAAAAGATGGCCTCGGGACCTACTAATATAGAGCTTTAATTTGAGTTCTTCCAATGGATGGTTTCTCTTCATGTTGTACATGTCATGTTACCAATGTCACATTTACTTGTCGTATTTTTCATGTAATACAGTTGTAAATTTCATTAAAATAAAAAAATAAATAATGTTTATGTAAAAAAAAAGTTAAAAAAGATGAGATAAATGTTAAATAAATATTTTTCCATCGGCACAACTGGCGTTCTAAAAATATTTCTAAGGAAGTAATTTGAAATGTAATTATTTTTTACCTTGAAGGCTTCTTCTTGTTCAATTTAGTTTGATTTATATATATTGACTAGCTTTACCCAGCCACGCACTGCTGTGGCTTAGCCTGGCCAAATTAAAAAGAAAGAACATAGAAAGCACATATGAGTAGATTAGTAGCAAAGGACATCTGTCATTTTTAAAAAGTTGGGAAACAAATTTGTCTGTAAAATGGCTTCAATTTAAACTAATTCTAATGATTTTTTTTTTCTCATGTTTTAAATTGAACATTCATAATCATCTGAGTGAAGGAAATGGCCTTTTCTGAAGAGAAAGCAGTACATGTTTAAAACTCTATAACTCTGCAACGAACCGTCCGATTTCGGTGTTTTTTTTTTTATTTTGTCGGCAAATCAAGAATCTTTCAAATAAATGTGGGTATTATCCATCAAAAATTGTGTACTTTTTTAGTTATCGTCAAATAAAATATTGAATTCCTCGTAACATTTTCAGGTTGTTTTCGAGAAAGTATGTTATACACATAAATGAGAAGAGTTTCAAGGGGAAGACTTTAGCCAAGTTTCGTTAAAATCGGTAAAGCTGTTTTGGCGCTACAGTTTATAGCGACACAATTTTTTACGGCTTTGAACAGAAAAACATTTACATTTTTATTTTTTTTTACATATATAAAATTATCGTAAGACAGAAATACTATGCCAGAAACCTTCCCTGGAGTGTACACAACAACTTCTTAAAGTTTTATGGCGATCGGATGAATGGTTTAGTAATGCACCAAGAACAAACAGACGGACAGACAGACATACATTAATTTTTATATATATATATATATATATATATATATATATATAATATATATAGAAGATAAGAATAGTTTTAAACACCCCTTCACACTTTTACCCTATCATTTATATCAAAAATTTAACTTTTACATTGTTATATTATCAATATATCTCGTACAACAATAAATGGGTGGAAGATGAAGACGTGTAATTAAAATTATTCCATTAGAGTGCTGCCAATGGGTGGTTTCTCAACAAGCGTGTTTCATGTGATTATATTCCTATGTACATATTTACTTGATGTATTCATACTAATACAGCTGTAAATATCATAATAAAAGTTAAAAAAAAAAAAAAAAATTATTCCTTTAAGTATATAAAATTTGAATATATACGTAATTTGTGTCTGAGGGGAGGATAGGAACTATCGATAGTCAATAGGACTACCGTTAGGGCTGTCGATAGTTGTAAGGTATCGATATATCGATATTACAATCGATTATCGTCCATCCCTATCACGTACCGACCTATCCTAACTTGCACTGACCTACCATAATCTGTAACCGCGAGCTCTGAGACAAATCATCCTATCTTAAACCTCGTACATTCTCGTTACGTTGCTCTTTAAAAGTTTCTACTATTGTAGCCTCAATGTTATTGGTTTTTCTTTGACAGATTAGGTCAGAGTTTTGCTTATTTGTTCAATTAATTTTTTAAAACCATTTTACATTATTTTTTTTTTTTAAAGTTAACTGGTGAAAATGTAAAATGAGTTCAATTTAAGATGCAAAATAAGTTTAATAAAACATATATAAAAGCGTATATATTTTTAGAAACTGCTGGAAAACTATATGTAAAAAATAAAATACCAAAATAAACTTTTTGGCTTAATATTCCTATCATTATTAAAAGTAAACGAAAAAAAATATTATGACTTCCTCCAAGTTCAAAACTAGATAAAATTATTGAAAGTAATAAATATTAAAATGATTTTTTAAAATGACCATAACATTTTTTCATGACCATAATATATATATATATATATTATATATATATATATATATATATATATATAGTTCCTTATATTTTATACGCGATAAAAGTCGAAAATATGTTTTAAAAATGACGGCAAAGTTTTTTTAATATTTTGCTGTACCCGGTTATTTAAAATCAGAGTACCTCTAAGGCCCATTTTACGTTGAAAAATGGTTGACTCACCTCCACCTCATAACAAAAGATTCTATCCCCAGATGTCAAAAGTGTAACCAATCACTAAGTATAAAACATATTTTGGAAGAGTGCCCTTTTTACACCGCAAGATTGAAAGATCTCGGAATACCCCAGAATATATCAGCATCCCTGGGAAATCAAGAAGAAATCGTTACCAAAGTCATCATGTTCCTGGATAGTGAAAGACTTAAAAAACACATATGACAGGCTTATAATTAATGATCCTTTGCAGATTTATTATTATTTTTTTATTTATTTTTTTTTATTTATTTTTTTTATCTATTTATTTTTATTCTATTTTCTCTTATTATTATTATTAATTTTTTTTTTCATTTGATTTGATTTCATTTTAAATTCATTTGTTTATTAATCTCAATTCATTTATAGATTCTAATGCTATTTTTTAAAGTTTATTTATTTATACCAACCATCCAAATAGTATTAAGTGATGTTATTTAGTTGATCGGGCGCTTATGACCTCGATGTTTTGCGCCTAGACTTCCAAACAAACAAACAAACAAACGTTGAAAAATGGGATTTATTATTTTTTTTTTTTTTTTGCAATACTTTCCCTTACTATATATTTCATATACCTATATGGAGGTGGAAATAAAAATACAGTTTACAACTCGATTTAAGCTGTAATAGGCTTAGATGAAGGTTTTCGAGAATTAAGTTAAAATATCTTTAAAAAATTTCTTTTTTTATTTTTAAATGGTTAAATCTGTTTTATTATATAATCCGTCTTATTTATTTAGGGTTTCTATAAAACAATGGGTTTCCTTAACCTAGAACATTTTTAAGACAACCTTCTATATTTATCTTTCCAGAGATTATTCCCCTCGTCAACTATGTATGTTGCTTCTTGATTGGGGAAGGGGAAAAAAACAAAATAATAATGACAGTAGTTCTTATTATGTGTAAAAATTCAACATAATTATTGTGAAACGAGCAAATATAATATATATTTGTTTGGAAGTTGTAGAATTTTTTACATGCATGGTTATACTTGAAAATATCTAAACAAAACGATTG